AAGATGTTGCCCCAGCTAATCTTTCTTTTTGTCTCCATGTTCTTGCTCTGTTGCAGCGCGTTCCACTTGGGACTATCTTCACTGTGTTCAGAAACCAAAATGCTTAATGAATGAGAAGCACTTTCTTTAACACAGGTGCTGGGCTGTGTGTTAATGCTGAAACTTTGCAGCGTTCCTGGGATTCCCTTAAGCTGCTTAGCGGAATTCAGGATGCTAAAAGCAGCATCAGAAAGTCCAGCGTGGTTATCTGACCGTTACCAAGTAAATGCCACTGAGGGAATGGGGGTTAATTAAGCTTTGACCATTGTAATTAAGAAACTTCTGTGAAGGGAAAGTGACTTGGGTTTTGCTCTGCCTTCCTATATTGTTCAAGACCATAAATGATACCTCCCTATGGCATGTGCCTAAAGCTGGTTTCTAAGCATGTAGAGGAGAGCTTGGCTGAGCTCAGAGTATTTATGGGCAGTCTGTTTCTCTTTATCTGATTCATGGACAGAGAGTACTCGATATGTACCTGTAGATGTATGTAGAAATTTTTAAGGAGAAAAATTAAAAAATGTCATTAAATTGCTTGATAGCGACTGTGAAGCTAAAGCTTTCAATACATCGTGTGCTGCTGGGTAAGGGGTTAACCAGTTCAACTTCATGATCTTTAGATACTAGGCTTTTAGGCTCTTTAGGCTCTTTTTTAGGCTCTTTTTTTAATAGGCTGTTAATAACTACCTACAGTTTGTTAAATGTAATAGAACTTGTTGACTATCATGTTACAATATATGCAAACGTTTAATACTTAACGTTTTCTAATTTTAATATGTGTTCAGAAGAACCAAGAAAGTCTCACATAGTAAATGGCTTGTTGCGAATTTGGTAGAAATATTTAGTGAATAATTTCAGTATGCTTAAAGATACTCAAATCTAAATTTTCTCTGTCTTATAAAAGGAAGTATTATCTACAGTTGCGTAATTTGAACCACCTGTTTTAGCCACCATGTCCTTCATGACTTTAGAACGAGTCATTCCTGCCCTGCTGCCTTTTTGGCATTTATGTGCTGGAAGCAAACTGGGGGTGGGCCGAAGGCCCAGCAATTAATAACACCCTCGTCTTGTTACGTGTCCTGTTAAAAGCAGCCGCTGACCAACTCCTGCCTTTGCTGTTTCCTTCTCCCTCAACACAACTGCCCAGCCATGGTGGAGCTCTTTGGGCAGGTCTCTAAGCTTTTAGACCAAGGAGGCTCCTTTCCCATGCCCAGGCTCTAAAACTGGAGGTTGTCACAGCACGTCTGGGGAGAGCACAGCCGGGTATCCTGACGCCCGAAGTAACTGCTGGCAACCCACGTGCTCTAGGTGACCCTGCATATGCAGGGGGGTTGGGCTAGGTGAGCTCTAAAGGTCCCTTCCAACCTTAAGGATTCTACGGTTCTATGAAAATGTTTGTGCCAGGTTATCCTGTTATCTCTGGGTTAGTCCAGCACTGCATGCTTGCAGAAGTCCCTAATCAAAGGACTTTCATTAGTAGTATTTTTATAGTGGAAAAAGCTGTTTTGTTTCTTTGTTTCTTTATTTTTTCAGTTGCATAGGCTGTTATAACTTAAACCTAATGAAAATAAGTTTTGACTCAAGCTGGTCCTGTTTTGGTACGTACTTTAGCAGGACAGTGCATCTGCAGCTGGGGAAGCCAATGAACAAGAAGTGGGCTCGATCACTGATGCTGACCCTGTGTGCTGCCTGCTGATGTTCTGCATCTGTGCTCTGTATCCTCACGTGTGCTCCTGGCACAAGGCAGCTGAGGTGGCTCTCATGAGCAGAAGTTGCTGTTGAGCTTTGCTAGAGTGGGTTTCTTTAGGTTCTTACAACATTACTTCAAAATTCTTAATGTGCTTTTTGTTGTTCTTTTTATTCTCCATTTTCCCTGTGTCCTGTCCCTTTAAAGCAGTGGTTCCAGGGCTGTGTTCTGCAGACCAATCCTGTTCTTAAGGAGGAATAGTTGTGTAATCCAGGTTTGGATACTGTAATACCTGGGAATAAAGTGAACTGTAAGCTAGAATCTTCTCAGAATTGCCTTTTCCAAAGCACTGCTGCTTTACTTTTTTCCTCTAATTGCTTACCTTATTGCAGATACTTTCCTTATTAGAGGAAGAAATAAGCTTACTGCTATAGTGATAATAACTTTAAAGAATTCTGTGATAAAGCAAACCACTTGGAGGAGATGGGCTCTTTCCTGGGCTTCAGATGCTGTGTAAGCATTGAAGAATCAAAGGATCAAGCTGCAGAGTCTGGGCGAGGTGCTCTCAAAGGAACTGAGCAATGGCAATTTCTGAATTCTGGCATTTGTAGGATTTAGTCCTTTTAAGTAAGTGTGAAAGCTGTATCTGAATAGAGCTTTTTTTTTTTTTTTTTTTTTTTTTTTTGGAAAAACTACTGTCTCTATAGTGACAAATGTGTCACTCCAAGTTACAAAAACTTTTGGTAAAGAATATTTGCAGCTGATAAATTGATAGTAAATATTCTAAGTCATTTTTCTTTGAAATATCACCTGAAAGTTATGTTTAGCAATAGATTTATGTAGTGAATAACAGACCAAAACCTCTAGGCTCTTTTGCACTGAGTCTTCAAATCTTTGGGGGGGAAAAAAGGAAAAGGATGAGCCTACTTGAAAAATGTCATGCACCTCATCACGATATAAATGATATCTACGAATGTCAGTGGAGATCCAAGGCCCAGCTGTTGTGAATGTCCCAGGAACACGGGCTGTGCCAGAGATCTGCATGCCAAAGAGCCAGAGCATGGGAAGCAGGAAGTGTTACTGCTCTTGTGCAGATAAGAGACTAAGGAAAAGGAGATTGGGGCCAAGATTTTCAAACTGACCAGATTTGTGTCCAATTGCATTGATTGCTGCACGGAGTGTTCTGAAAAACCCTGTTTCAGATTAGGTAGTCACGCTGAGATACCTCAGATCAATAGCAACTTCTGGCAGCTTTGACTGAAGCAACTCTCCAGAGTGGTGTGGAAAGCTCATTAGCAGAATTCTTGCAGAAATTAAGCACAGTAGATGAAAGTAACTGAAGGAAGAAATTTCAATTGATTCTAAGACCAGTTGGGGGGAAAAAAAGGAGACGGAAGCTGTCCTGGTGCTGTCTGGCACCAAACTTTGCAGTTGGAGAGACAAGCTTTCCTGCCTGAAAGTTTGGAAATAATCCCTGCACAGACACCTGTTTGATCTGTGCAGCTCCAAAGCTTTCATCTTGTCTTTGGAAACAGAGAAGGAAAATAAGAACCAAACACAGAATAAAAGATGGTTATATAAGGACTTAAAGGCTGTTCGTGCCAACTTAAACTGTGATTTTTTTTTTGTTTGTTTGTTTTAATGTTGTTTCAGTTTGTTGGGGTTTTGTGGTGGAGGGGTTTTGGGGGAGGATGGGAAGGAAAAAGTTGTTTTAGTCTGATACTACTTGTGGTAAAGGGTTGTTCCATCTTTTCATCCTAGTTTGAGATGCCTGAAACATCTCGTACACTGTTTTTGCTCTTCTGAGTGAAAGAGAATCCCCTTTGTATCTCATCAGGAACCTTCTTGTGTTAGGCCTCTACTGGAGGTGGTAGGAGCTTTTGTGGGTGTGCAGAGGTTTGGGAGGCAAGTGCTCTGTTTCACCTTCCCTATTCTGAGCATAATCCAGTTCTCCATGTGGTGGTTGTGTAGCATCGTCCTTCCTTCTGGAGCCCAAAAGGAGAGCACAGTTCCAGGATTTACTGTCTGAACATCAGAAGGAATAGAAGGAAACTTTATATAATTGATTAGAAGGGATATACTTGAGTGATCTATAATCAAACATATGCATGATATGTGTATCAAGCACAACACTGTGATGAGAGTTTTCTTGGTTCGCTTCAATATGTGGAATCTGGTTATTTGCTGTTCTGTTGATCAAAGCCATGATTTAGCTAGCAAGGCTGTCATACCTACAGAAGACCTTCTCATAAGTTGATTTAAGATTAAAAAAGATCCATAGATAAGCTATTTGCCTTATATATTTCATCTGTATTATGTACACTGGAATGTTTTTAGTTCCAAAATTCCTGTTACCACTGGAGCTCAGAAATAGTAGAATTTGTTGTTTAAAGTAGTTCGACTCTCTCTTGTGGAAGTAACATCGTGGGAGCAGTTTAATGGGAGTAAGTTTCTTTGACTTACTATCTAAAATACTGGATAAGGCTCTAGATTCCCCTCATCCCTTGGTGTTGCTAGTGGCTGTCGATAGCAGTTTGATGTGGGTGATGATGAAGGCATGGGACAAGTAGGAGGACAGCTCCGACACCTGCATGGCTCCATATTACGGAGTTGTAGAGGAATTTAACTGTCTGTTAGGGTTGTGCTGTGTAGACCTTTTCACTAAAAGAAACCTTACTTACCTGCAGCTTTTCTTGGCACTTATGATACTGCTAGAGCTAATACTAAAAATTGGCCCTTTGTGGAAAGAAGTGGGTAGACTTCTTATTTCCTTAGCTACTGGAGTACTGTGTATAACTTTTTTTTCTAGTCAGGTACGACGTGACTTTTCTAACAAATTTTCTTTTGTACACTCACTCACAAGGAAAATAAATCTGTTTAAAAAGTCATGTTCTGAAGGATGATCCCTTATTTGTAGCTTTCATTTATAAATGCACATTTACGCTTTCTGTGCTCCCTGATCTGTTTCCCTTAGTGCTTCAGAATGGCTACAAAGGAGGATAGGGGAAGTTGGTATTGGAAAATTATCTGTCTAAGCTTTTATTTTCCGTCCCTGTTAGGTCATGGTCCTCTGAAGTGTCACCTAGTTGCTGAGAGAACTTAAATAAAGGCTTTGGTGTAAGAACTGAAGCTCAACTAGTAATATCTATTGTCCTGAAACTTAGGTGTTCTTTTAACTGCATCAAATAAAACGAGTCCTCTTAAATATCAGTGTTTTTGTATACACTGTGGTTCCTGTATTTTTTTGACACACAAATTCTAACGAGCTGATACTGCTCATTCAGGTGCCGTACGAAACGCTGAACAAACGTTTCCGAGCTGCCCAGAAGAACATTGACCGGGAGACGAGCCACGTCACGATGGTGGTTGCAGAGCTGGAGAAGACGCTGAGCAGCTGTCCCGCTGTGGATTCAGTTGTTAGTCTCCTCGATGGAGTAGTAGAAAAACTCAGTGTCCTGAAAAGAAAGGTAGGTGGCCCTTAGGATCACTTTGTTTTTGCCAAGTTAACAGCAGAAGTCTTCTGCAATATAATGCCCTTAAGTTTTCCTTTCAAGCTACAAGTGTTAATGGCACTAAAAACAAAGGCCTGAGAATGCTCCCAAAATATCAAAACATCCTGTATCTTGCTTCATTTGTGCTTACAAAATTTGGCTAGGAGTTCATGATTAACTCTAATGAATCTCAGTTGGTGTAATATGAATATACACTCACAGCCCTAAAAAAAGTTATTTCTTGCCTCAGAGGCAAATGAATCAATTTGTATCCATTTCTTGTTGGCAAATGGAAAGGTCTGTGCAGTTTACTTTAACTGATCACTTCATGGGGAAAGCCAGCTAGAAGATGAGTTTGGAAACTGTGCAACTCCAGCAGAGATGTATGCAGTGTTGAGGCTTCTTTGCAGAAATTACTCAGGAGTGTTATCTGAACACTCTTTTTTAATACTAAAATTTCTGGCTTGAAAGTTCCTAGAGAATGTTAATGAGAGCAGAGAAGTTGTTCTAACTGTTAAGCTCCGGCATTTGTCTAAAACATAGCCAAGCTTTCAGGCCCTTGTCACATTTCCGTTCATGTTTTTTTTCTAAGAATAAATTAAAAACAGTGTATAGTGTAAGCCATCCTTTTGGATGCAAATAGCTTTTGTGCCCTGCTTTAGAGTAATTATGTGAAAATAAAACAAAAGGAAGCAGAGGTGTTTCGTTAAAACTTAAGATTTATATCAATTGGTTATTTAAAAGAAGACTTCATGTCTAATGTCAAAGTATCTTGGAGGTTCGTAACATGAAAGTAATGCTGTCATGCATGCTGATTTGGAGGTTTCTGCCTGGACAGGTTAGTCAGGTGCTGAAAAGCCAGTCCACGAAGGCAGTCTTAAATCTAATTACTGTTTTCATATTTGCTGTCTGAATTTGGAGGTCCTGAAACATGTGTTTTCTTCACTTTGGCATTTGCCAAAAAAGATTGCTGTTTCGGAAAGAGGTGTTAGCAGATATTGCTTGTAGATATATGATGATGTGGAGGAGTAAGTTATGCTCTTGCCAAGCCTTGTCTGGCTGCAGGGATGTGTCTGAAGGCATTGCTGAATGTTTTCGGTGCAAAGCTCCATTTTTAGTAGTTGCTTGTTTGTTTCTGACTGCCCGGGAGCCTGTGGGGAGTCTCCCAGCTGTCCGGAAAGGACAATGGACAAACAAGAAATCTGCTCAGACAGTGAAGTCCTCTGAAATGCAGCGGTCTGGCTCCTGCTCCGAACCCGCAGCTCCGGTTGTCTTCTCTGTAGGCTCTGCCTGGAGCAAAGTGTAGTAATTTTCCATGGGGCCTTTGGATCCAAGTGGGGTCTCTGTTTCTTCCTTTCTACAGCCAGGGATCTGGTGAACTGCTGAGGTGGCCATCATGGAATTAGAGGGTTCTTTTCTTTAACACCCTGCTTGCTTTTCTATACCAGAACAGTTTTTATTGGGTTCTGAAAATTAGCTTTTTGTTTTCCCTTCATGTTCTTTAACGTGCTTGTTCCTTCAAGCACGTGCTATTCATGTCCAACAAGGCATGTCCAGATAGTAATATTTGCATCCAAGGGCTTAGAAAAAGATCTCTGCAGCCTTTCTGAAGGCACTAGGAGGATTGAAACAGTACAGGCTTTATAAATCCAGATACAAAACCCAAATAAGAGGAGTCACATGCTCTTAGGAATGGGAAGGCCTTTGTGCTTATTTGCCCTAAATTCTCCCAGTGGTATTCTGAATTTTTTTTTCCACACCTGATAATGCTCTAGATACCTAACAATTAAAAGTGAATTTTGACTCAGGTTAGTGTTTCTTTGCTTAATAGAAAAGCTCACACAAAACAAATTGCTGTTAATGTTGCGAAACAAAAGTAAATTTCATGGAAAAATAAGTCTTCTGAAGATGTAATGAGTTTTAGCTAAAACATTTTTGTATATATAAATACTTGAGTTTTATACAAAGAACCAGACTAGAGCCAGACCTAAAAAGGGGGCAAATGTTTCGGAGTTTTTTCTTGCATAAGTTCTTATTCAGTTGTTTGCGTTTCAAATATTTATTCTCCAAGGAGAAGTCTTTAAATGACATGATTAGTAAAAGCACCTGGGATCGACCTGTGCTTTTGGACTGTGGTGACACCCATATCATGGATGATGCTGCAGCCGGCATAGCTTGAGTACTTGTAGGGGGACATAACATAACATGGGGTGCTGTGCGGGCTGCCAAAGCTCCCCCAAGGTGTTTAATCTGTGATGTTGGCTGGCAAATGTGCCAACAAAATTTGATTTTCTTGTTGCCGTGGCCATTTAGGTTTTCAAACATGTGTTAGTGAGTTTAAAGTCACCACTTACTCTAAGGCAGGAGTTGTTTAAAACAAACACAACCCAACAACCAACATGGCTATGCAGGTAGTTTTGTTACCTGAATCCAGGATGTTTCCAGAGTGCTAGAAGTAAAATAATACTTACCCGTATAGCAAAGTTTAATACACACTTGTGTAACTTACTAGTTGAATGAAGAGGTATTTAGTATTAAAATGCTGTGAGTTCCTTGAATTCAAGAAAGATGCTGAAAGGTTAAATGTTGATACCTCTTTGATTAATGCAGAGATTGATTAAAAGGATTCCAGCTGATTAGCAGTAATGTGGCTTTGTTCTGCACTGTTTCCCCAAGTCTCCCCCCGTACTTAGCCAGCATTACAGCTGGTTGAGGAGGAAGCGTGTATAGGTTGTAGGCAAACCCATGAGTTTGTGCTGTTTGGACCACACAGCTGTAAAGCTTCTCAAAGCTCCTTGCAGACTATTACAGCAATTGAGGCTGCTGTTTGACACCTGATCCTTTTTTTTTTTTTTTTTTTTTTTTTTGGGACTAACTGCATACTAGCTAGGAAAAAGCAGGATTGATTTGAGAGGGATATGCTTCCAATGCTTATCTGAGCTGCCTCAAAGTTTGTATTGATGTGTGAGAACCTCCAAGCACGCTGCAACTTATGTGTTACCACAGTAAGTGTCTTTGAGGGGGAGAAAAATGTTACTGAAAGCACCTGTGCAAGATGTAAAGAATGTTTACCAGCCATTCTATTAGTAAGGCTTAGATACTGCTTTAAAAGCAACTGTTTATAATAGAGTTGAAAATTCTAGTAGCTATTACTTTTTTCCTTATAATTGTTACTACTTAGGCGGTTGAATCGATCCAGGCTGAAGATGAGAGTGCAAAGCTCTGCAAACGTAGGATTGAACACTTGAAAGAGCACAGTAGTGACCAGCCAGCTGCTGCAAACATGTGGAAGAAGAAACGCATGGATCGGATGATGGTGGAGCATCTCCTGCGCTGTGGCTACTACAACACGGCTGTGAAACTAGCCAGACAAAGTGGTATTGAGGTTGGTAACTATGCACTAACCTAGGAAAAATACAACATTTTTTTAACGAGGAAATAGATAGTTTGTATTATTTGTATTTTTTCAATCTGCTTTATGCCTATAGCTGCTATTCTTGGGTATTAAAGAGTATCTTTGTCCTTTATGATTCTGTTAATCTTCATAAACTTGTTAGGTTTCTCTACTTGGCATAAGTTGTGTGTTAAGTCAAACTTGATGGCTTAGCTTTAGTTCTCTTGGCTTAACAGAAGTTAAATGTTTTGGGGGTAAATTCCTTTCCCTTTTAAAACTTGGAATAATTTTCAGATGTCATACTGTACGTCTTGTTAGAGACCGTTAGGCCGCTCATTAAATAGTTGGTAGAGTTTCCCATCTGTCCAGGCACACTTAGGTGACTTGTGTAGGTGACCAGCCTGAGCAAAATAACATATGCTGATCGCAGTGACACCTGCTTGGTTATATCATCCTACTCTTCAAGACATTTTTTAATAGCCAGTATATCTTGTCTGGTCCACAGTAACATTTTTTTCTGTGTCTTTTGCTGATTTCCTCATCTAAAATCCTGTGGTGGTGATTTTTCTTTCCATTTGTTATCTAGAATGTTTTGATTTGTTTTTATAGTTATTGATGGAGATGTTCCAGTCATGTTGTCCAACAATAATTTGGAAATTATACACCGCAGCATAGCTTCTATGCAAAGTACTGAGCCACACTGTGGTCCTCTAACACCAACAAGGACAAAGAAAATAAAATTGTTTTCTTTCTAAGTAGCAAATTATTACTTAGAGAATTCTTTTGTTTTGCTAATTTGAGATAGTATTTGCTATTCGATTCTCAACGATTTTTTAAATCTCTAAGTTGTTTAATGTTCCTGACTCTAGAAGCTGTTAAAATCTTCCTATGAAGGTAGGAGCTGTGCGAGTTAAGCGGTGTTGTGATTTACTTACTTGGCCTTTTCTAGTGACATAGTTGAACATGTCTTAACGTTTTCTTTCAGCTACTTGACACAAATGTTATTTATGTCAAAAAATAACTGTTCTGCGTGTAATGCAAAGAGCCTCTCTTTTTCACAGTCAGGGAATAACATAGATATGTCTCACTGCTCTGATCCTGTTCAACCACAAGTGATTTCAGTCAGTGCCAGAAAAGTAGAGGTTGAAGGAAAGCAGGAGGAGGAGAGCAGGTCGGAAATGCCTTTTTTTCCCTCTTTCTTAACATTTTTTATTATGCCTGATGAAGTAATGCTCAGCTTGGCTTTAGAAGTGAGTGTGGAAGTCCATCATGATATACCACAGAACTTTGTGGTACAGAGAGTTGCAGTTGTTGAAGCTCTATAGTTTGGGGTTTTTTGTTGTTGGTCTGTTTGCTGGAGAAATTTCTGCTTTTCCAAAAAAAAATTTAAAAAGTTTAAAAAATAAGCTTATCACTTAAGCAGTGCCTTTAAGACTTACCCATTTTTATTTGCAAGACATCAGAAAAGACAGAATGACATTAGAATTTATTCATACAGGTTGAGTACCTTAAGCACATATTGCTAGTTAAGCCTATGTACATTTTATTCAATGAATGTTAAAGCTTATATTTTGGCTAAACGAGGAGAGGCTTTCCTCAGTCTCCAGGGTGCTCCTCATCTTTGTCATGAAGCTGGTTATGTCTGAACTCCCCCTTTACCATGGACATCGGAACAGGTCACCTAGAGAGGCTGGAGGCCCCATCCCTGGGGCCGCCCAACACCACACTGTGGGCCAGGGTCCTGAGCAGCCTGGACTAGACTTGGTCTTTGGAGGCCCTTTCCCTCCTCAACCATTTCCTCATTGTCACCCGCTGTCTTTAAAAGGCTGTTTCCATTTTTCACTTGCAGCTTGGGAGTCGTAGATTAAACATCTCCTTGTGGCTCTTAGACCAGTCTTAAAACAAGCAGGCTGAGACTTGCTGTTAAGTTCCTTGTGTGGCTTGTGAATGGGAGGAAGTCTGCAATGCTGCTGACCCACTTTATGGGGGGAAAGGTTTAGAAAGTGAGCTGCTTTGGGGGCCAGAAGCAAGCCTGTAAATCATTCATATCTTTGCCAGCAATAAACAGCAGCTTGTTCAGACTGACTATGCACCATAGTGTCTAATTTTGAATAAGTATTGGTGGACCAGGGCAAATTGTGATCTTCCTTTAAATTAGCTGTCTTCATATGAATGATATTCTCAAATTCTGGTAATGGAAGAGGAAGGCTTAGAAGTCTTACTTGTAAACCAAGAAACAAACAGCTGTGGAAGGAAATGCTGGATGTGACGGTGACATTTAAATATCAGGGTAGCAAATTATAATGTAGCAATTATAAAGTATGATGATTGGTGATACAAGAAATAAAGTGCAAATATTACATATGTAATATATCTTTAAAGAAAAGAAATACTGCTTGGGTAAGTAAACCAAAATCTGAGTAATATTAAAAAAAGAGCTGACAATCAAGGGCAGAAGTGTCACGTGTGTGTCAGAACAAATATGGGGGGAAGGGATCTAGTGTGGATTTTGTTTCCTTGATGTATTCTGGCTCCTTAATGATGTGAAAAACAGTCTGAATTGAAAATATAAACCAGAAATCAAGTTTTTGTTATTGCATACAAATGAAGCTCATCATTATTAGCTTGTTGCACTTAATAATGATCCTATTTTGACTCTATTGTGACCTTGGAGTGCAGCATGAGTATAAAAGTGCATATTTTTATTTGCAAATTCATGTGCTCAACTTAGCTGGCAGAGTTGTCTTAATTTGAACTTTGTTCTGTGTTCTGCTCTATTAAATGGTCTCTCATTTCTGTGCCATTAACTGGCAGGTAGATCTGGTTTTGGAAACATGGTTTTCTAGTGGGAAGTTGGTGACTATTTGCAGAGATTTATCATTAGATGTGTAGATTTCATGAGTTTTGTTTTAATTTGATCCTTGTTCTAGCCAATTTTTAGTAGGCTAGAGAGAAAGATTTGCCACAGGGTTCTGTAATTAACTACATAATAGATGTAGTTGGTTTTGCAATATTGGTAAAAGCAAATCCTGGTTTTCAGACTGGCCTCTTACCATAAGCTGTAAACCTTCTTCTGTCTTTGATTAGCTGATTAAAATAGAATAAATATCCTTGTCTTAAAGCTCACAGTATATGAAATCATACAAGCAGCAATATGCTTTTTTTGTCTGAAGAGTAGCATGATTTTAAACTAAGTGTGTGCTGTGTCGGGGGAGCGCGGATGAGGCCGTGTGCGAAGCGGCCTGGAAGCTGCCGCAGCCACGGTGCTTTGCAGGGCACTGCAGTGGGTGCCGGTGCTTCCGCTTCGCTCCTTGCTTTATGAAACACGTTCCTCAAAACTCTGCAATTATTTATTTCTGGCCACTATGGGGCAAAACACAATGTTGAAGCTGCCATTTTGGCAGGCAGCTTTCCCTGAGTAACCGTGTTTGTCCTGATGACGCTTTTCCAAAAAAATAAATAAAAAATAAAGAGGAAGAGAGATATTGGGAGTGCCAGTGAGCGAGCACTTGGCATTTGCTTTTCGAGTCCAAACTGTTAATACTGTTCCCAAGAACACTGTTCTGACCAAAACGTGGCAGGGTTAAGTCTTTTGAAAGGTGGTTTCCTGGCTGCTGGCCAGGAGAGCCAATGCCCTGAACCCCCAGCTCTGAAGGAGGCTCCGTGTTTAAGAAGCTGCTTCTCGTTGTGTTCCCAGCTGCCCAGCCTGGAAGGTTTTTATGCCAGTGCTGGATAAGGCACGCTGGGATCACCATCTCCCTGCCCCTGCCGGCACATCCATGGGCCTCAGTGCTCAGTAACAGGGCTTTAACTTGCTGCTCTTGGCCAGCAGGAGGAACTTGCAGATAATGGTGTCGCTTCTGGCTGGGGGAGGCTGATCCAAAGTCTCCTTTTGCCTAGAAAAAGCTCAATTCTGCTTTCTGCATGAATAGAGCAGAATATTGCCCCAGCAGATGGGTAGAATAAACACACGTGCTCTGTGTAATACTGTTGTGTTTACCAGTCTCTTCCCTGGAAGCCTGAAATGGCCATTCAGGTTTGATCTGGAGGGTTAGATGGAATAGGGGTGAAATTTCAACCTAAAGTAGACCTGACAAATAGGCTACGTAATAGGCAGTTTAAGAATGTTTGAGCAGTGAACTTCGTTTTCTGCGAAGGAAGTGGGTGCTGGATTGGATGGCTCTTAGTGTTACGATGTGATGAGATGATGTGACAGATACCAAGTGCTTAGAAAAACTGTCCTTTGAGTGAAGGAGGCCATATGATGCTTGCATTTGAAGTTAAGCAGAAGCTGAATAAATACACATCTTCTGAAGAAAGAAGGGAAGGAAAAACCTCATAATGTTGTACACTTAGAAATTTTCCATGTTTGGAAAATTCTTGGACATGGCTTCCAAGAATGGCTTGTAAGCAAACACACAAATACATATTAACATAATTCATCAAAGCACATTTGTATTCAGAAAACTTTTATTTTACATAGCTAAGTATTTAATATTATGCTAAATACTTGCATGTAGCTTGCTTTGCTGCAGGCACAAGGTAGACACGCTGCCTTTCCCAAGGCAGCTGCGCGACGGAACGTGGCCTTGTCTGAAGCCTTCTGTTGTGTCCTTCACTTGTGACTTGTGTCCCCACACTAGAGGTGTTTGAGAAGGCTACGTGTGAAAGAGCTCCTGAACTGTTGCAGCTTATTTAAAGGTGCCAGGATGTGAACTAGTGGCTATTTTGAGTTACCTTAACGGACTACAGCGTGGTAATTCAGAAACCAGTTTAAGTGTGATATGTAGGCACGGCAGCTTCTCCTAGATTGCTGTAATGAACGGCTGGGTGTGTTCAGCTGTCTGAATTTCTAAGTGCTGGAAATCCCAAGCAACTTGACATCTGCACCTTGTCTCCAGTCTCCTTGGGATTTAGAATTATGAAAATGCGAAATGGTCAAAATCCATGTGGAGGAGAAAGCTTTCTCATTAGGAATCGTTCTCGATGTG